TATACAATGATAAACCCTCCCATCCTGAGCCTTTTAAAAATATTAGGGCAGGTATATAGGCCACTGAATTTTGAGATTTTTCCCATAATGAAAATGAACTGGGTAAAAATTTTCTCACTTTGAGTTTAATGTTAAATGATGGTGGAACTCATTTTCTGTATCAAAGTATAATGTATTACCAAATACCACATGAGAGGATAGTGTTAAATATAGAACAAAACACTTTTTTTTCTAATTTTCTAATACAGCTTATCAAAGTAAGCTATGAGTTTTCCAATCTCTATCATTACGTATTTAATATTTGAGAATCTTGTCACTCTCACATAGATTTCCCCTTGTTCTTCTACCAGTGAAAAAGTTAATAAGTTTTACAAACATACGGAGAATTGTGTATGTCTGTTCAGCGTGTATTTTGGTAGATAAAATTCTAAAATGCAAATACACAAGATGTAAGGGAAGTAACTGTACCATCCAGGCAGCCACTAGCTAGCCCAGCTGGCTTCAGCAGTTAGCTCTAGCCCAGCTCAACTGGTGTATGCCTGTCCCTACCTGCTTACCTGTGTTAGGGCACACTGCCATGGTTGCCTCAAAGCCAACAATAGGGAGCATACCATTTAATGCTGAACCGTAATTTCATCAATCTCTTAGCCTGAATCTGAAAAATTAATGTTTTTCTTTTTCAAGATCTCTTGTTTTTCTTCTTACTATTTTTTTCCATGCTTTAATCCTTGCATAAGTTAAGGCAAGAAGAGGTTCTCTTAGACAGTCATGGGCAAGACTGTTGTCTACAGTGTGTGTACTTCTGACAGGCTCTGCTCTTCCTGACTGTTAAACAGGCCAGCAGCTGAGAAATTACAAATACTGGCTTCATTAATGTCCTACAGAACAAGGTCAGAGGCAAATATACTTAAGCAAAACCTCTAACGTCATAGGCAAGTCCAGGGTCATGGCAACTTCTCTTAATTTTCAGCTTCCTAAACAAGAATTTGGACACAAACAGGTTTCTAATGTATTGAAAAGCCAAGACTTACAGAAATGAGAAATTTCTTATATTTTCCCCAAGATACTTAATCTAATACTTTTTCCCTGGAGTTCCATTTGAACATGTAATTAAAAATACAGTATTTAGCTTTGTAATGGCTATTACTGGCTGTCAACTCAAACGTATCTAGAGTCACCAGGAAGGCAAACATCCGGGAAAGCTTGCAGGCTAGGTTGAGTGAGGCGGGGGAACCTGTGTGGACCGTATGAGCCGACAGGCAGCATCCTGGGCTGCAGACAGAGGCGCCTCACACCGTTTCCAGCACGCTTCTGCCGACATTGCTGCCACCACTTGCTTGCCATGAGCGGCCATATCTCAAGGAATATAAAATGCAATAAGCCTGCTTCTTTTTCTTCTTCTTCTTCTTCTTTTTTTTTTTGGTTTGTTTGTTTGGTTGGTTGGTTTGGTTTTTCGAGACAGGGTTTCTCTGTATAGCCCTGGCTGTTCTGGAACTCACTCTGTAGACCAGGCTGGCCTCAAACTCAGAAATCCACCTGCCTCTGCCTCCCAAGTGCTGGGATTAAAGGTGTCCGCCACCATCGCCTGGCAAGCCTGCTTCTTTTTAAGTTACTTTCTTTCAGGCATTTTGCTGCAGCAATAAGAAAATAACTAAAAAGATATATTGAAACAGACTGTAATATTTTATTGTTACTGTTCAGACACTTTCTGGTCAAGTCACAATTTGTGTCATAGTGCTATCTAACATAAAGTATAACAAATCACAAGAGAATAGTGTGGTAAGTAAAAATGTATATCTGATAATGTCATACTGGATTGGTTTCATTGACATCTTTATCCTACTCAATCAACCTCTTAGAATAATGTCCTTTTCTTAAGAACATAGGTTGTTCCCTTCAGCACCTTATTCATGGTCATGGCACTCAGGTTTAAGAATTGGACAGAAGCATGCTCTAAAGTATGTTAAAGACCGTACTGAAGATATGATTAATTATACATATCTAAAAATTAATTTTTGTGATAAGATTGTGTCTCATTAACCAAGAAGGCTTGGAAAATATAGCAGACACACTGACCTAAGCTAGACTGAGTCCTTTAATTGTCACAGGTGGGAATCACTTCCATTAAATGTTAGAGATCATGGCAAATATTGTTTTAAAAAGAAAAGCCTCATTCTGATATGAAATAACAACAAATGTTTTTTAGTTGAATTTGAAAAATTCAATAAGATAATTTTCTCTATTAATATATTGTCAGAAATTTTTTCAGTAGGTGTAAATCTTTTTATGTTGTATATTTATGTAGGTGTGAATATTCATGCATTTGTATGCTTGTGTCTGTGTCAGTGTGAGTTCAGCCTCCTGCTCCCCTTTGAATGTATATATGAGTGTGCATGTTTGTGTGTGTGTGTGTCTGTGTGTGTGTGTATGATCAGCCTCCTGTACTTTTCTTGAGGTCATGAGTAATTAACTCATAGTTTATCTTCAGGTTAAAATTGGTGCTAGAGTTCCATTTTTTCTTGTGGTTGTAAAGACTGACTCTGCAGCCATGGACATGGAAGGCAGGTCCTCAACTGCTAAGTTCCATCTCCAGCACTGACATCATATATTTACAACAGTCAACATAAAAAGGAATAGTTTACCATAAAATATATAGGTGTCTCTAATGTTCCATTAATCTATGCTTTGATGAGTTTTAATACTACCTATCACTGGAACAGGAAATAGAGGGTGAGGGTACAGGAGAACTGTGGTGAATTTGAAATTTTTATTGATCTGGGTACTGTTTTTGTATTATGTTCAGCTTATCAAGTTGTGTGTTTATAATAAATGCATATTTTCTCCATTATATACCATTTACCAATAATAATTTTTTGAAAAGTTAAAAATTAAAATTATCTTAGAACATTATACATGTCACTTAGAATATTCTGCCGTTTTGATATTTTATAAGTTAAATAATACTGTCATAGTCATAAATACACATAAAATATAGAGATAAATCTTATCAGTGCAGTACAAGGCTCATTATTTCACATTTAATCTAAATACATATTCTAGTGAGAAGATTAGCTTAGGGATAATACTGCATGCATCTTAGCTTCCACTCAGACTTAGGCATCAGCTCTTTCCAATGGAAAATTAAACTATGAGATCACATGATCAGAAACCATGGGTGTCTGTCTCACCAATTCCAGTATGCTTTATTTGAAAGATGACCAAATTCTCCTTTCTTAAAACCCAAATGTCCCTGGAGAATGTGTGTGCATCAGTGTAACTGTACCCTAATGAAATTTCTGAAGGCTTTAATAAATTATTCACGATTCTTAAAATACTTACTTTTGAAAAATGATATCAGTTTCATACTAAGAAATTCAACTGATCTGGTCTCATTTAAGGCTTAATTTAATAATATTATCAAATAAAAATAAATGCTATTAAATAAATTAAATAAATAGTATTATACCAATCAGCATTTAAATTAGTTCTGTGAAACCTACTTAAAGGCATTAAAAAAAAAAACAACAACAACTGCTATTCTTAAACAAAGTAAAATTTCAGGACATGGAAAAATGAAAATATGGCATAAGGAGACACTTAAGGATTTAAAAAAATTAAGAATACAAGGCTGATGAAGTGCAGTCTGCACCTGAGTTTTTAACAAAGTCCACTCCAGAACCGTCCTGCCAGCTCCCAGAAGGTGTGCTGGGACAGAGGAGGCTAGTCTGCTGTGTGACACACACCTCAGCATCCTAGATCATGAATCAGTGTCCATAGATCGTAATGAAGGACAGGTCCGCCTACGTTCCACGGCCCAGCCTCATGCTTCACCACAGACACCAGCCTGAACTGTGAAGAATTCCTGCGGATATCCAGCCTGTCTGCACCACACCAGCCGACGCCCTTCCTCCTTCCTGAAACCTCCTGATCACACCCCAGCTGTCATTGAGCTTTCCATCACTGATCTGCTGATATTAGAACAATAACTTATCCAGCAGACCGTGTTACAAGGTAAGCTCGCTAGCTTGTTTGATGGGACGAGTAGGTACAGGGCAAATGATAACTACTGCCTTTTCTCACTGTGTCTGTACAACAGTCTAATTTACTGTGCAAGGAAAAGTTCAGAGCATCTAAACAATCCCCTTATCTTCATACACAAAACATGGTACTGAAGTCAGGCCTGATTCACTTTAAAGCAATTAGACCTTCTGCCTTCAAGCACAAATGGATTTGGAGAAAAATCTGGTATTATCATCTGAGAAAACATGAGGACTTTCACATGTTCTCATTCCGAGCTAGTGCCCAGAGCTGGAACTAGATAACCTCGCCTCCCGAGAGTGCTGCTCCAAGCCTCACTGAAAACAAGCTCAGGGCTTCGGGTGGTGAGCAGTACTCACTAAGCAGCTAGCACAGAGCCAAGGAAAGGATATGACTAAAGGTCAAAGATGTGGGGAAATTCAGATCATGCTCCTGCTCTTCATGCTTTATCCTCAGGCAACAGAGGACATGTTTCTATAGGAGTCCAACAGTAATAACAGAGATATTCAAAGTCTGCGGGGCTGGAGACATGGCTCAGCAGGTAAGAGCCCTGGCTGCTCCAGAGGACTAGAGTTAATTTCCAGTACCCACACAGCAGCTCACAACTATCTGGCTCTGGGATCCACATTGCCAGACATACACGTGGTACACATACCTGTGCATGCCGGCAAGATGCCCATGCACATAAAATAAAATCAATGAATACTAAACTACACGATATAATGAAAACTAGTCTCATAGTCCTCTCAGCCAATTTATATTCTAATAATCCTCCATCATTACGTAAGCAGGTTCGTCATAGAGCAAAGTCCACATGTCACACATGTACGCCCTGCAAAGTGCAGCTAACCCACACAGTGACTGTGGCCCTTCCAGGCACTCCAGCGAGGGACAGTATTCTCTACTGTTACCTTAAGAGTACCATGGCAACGACATCCTGAAAACAATATCAATTCATTATCCTTGCCCCTAGAAGGTGTGGCTGCTGTGTCACGTGTGCATCAGTAGGTTGCAGAGAGGAGAGAGGCTAAGTCTATGCTCAGTGTTCTGACCTGAAAAATGCAGGTCTGAGATGACCACCAGTTTGGCAGATGGGTCCTGGACATGGAACTAGCTAGAGACAACCACCAATTAGGCATCGAATAAGCATAGGGGGAGAGACCATGCCTGAGATGACCCCTGTCTGGCACCATAATGTATGTATAAGCAGAGCATAGCACTCCTGAGACCACGCCTGTGACGACCCCAGATACTCAGAAACCCTGGGTGACACTAAGAGGAGCAAGTAAGTGTTGGAGAAACCGGAGAGAAAGAGAAACAGAAGGATGTGGGTGGGCACGATGAAGAGAGGCAGAGCTGGAGACTCAACGATAGCAAGGAACAGCCTGATGTGGGGCTGGTGATGCCACCTGGGACCATGCTGCCACCAGAAGCCCATCTAGGTTCATAGCCCTGAAGTAGTAGAGATCTGCTACCACCAAAGTCCAGGAAGATGTCTCTGGTCTGAGCTGCCTTCTGGTGATATGCTGATGTCTGAGGGCTTTATAGAATTGGCCCTACACCTCACCCGAGCATCATGGGAGAGCTGGCCTTGGGGCCACGAGAGCTGACCATGCCACTAACCAGCTGCAGTATTCCAGCAAATTACAGGAGTTGCAGGAGGGTGAGTCACCCCTGAGGATATGAGCAGTGGAGAGGTGGCCCTATCTCTCATCTCCCATGTGGTGGCATTGGTGAGTGAGAGACGCCCTCCTCTCCCTTTACCCTCACCCCCTGGGGCTGGAGACTGATCATGAAAGTAGGAGAGCAGGCCCTGAACCTCACCTGGGCAACACAGTAGATCTGGCCCTGGATGTGGGTGGCTTCGGGCGACATGAGATGGGAGAGCCAGCCCTGACTCCCAACAGCTGTGCAGTGGAACTGATGAAGGAGACATGCCTTCCTCCCCTCCCTGGTCCCTCACTGTCTATGGCAGGCAGCAGAGATAGAGTCATGAGAGTGGGAGAACTGACCATGTCCCTCACTAGCTGCAACACTTGGAGAGCGGGCCCTGCACCTCAGCTGGGCAGCAGGGTAGAGCTGGCTCTGGTAGCAGGGGCTGCTGGTGAGCCAGCTCTGAGGGCATGAGAGCAGGAGAGTCAGAGGTGCGCTGAGCAGCTCAGATACCTCTGAGGTCCAGATCCAGGTCCTTGAATTGGCCCACCCAAACATCTGCCCCATTGATGAACTGCTGGAGTGAATGAAGATGCTATGCTGTTCTACAGATTCAAAGCTACAGATCTCCACAACACTGGGCATCAACAGGATACCCAAGAGGAGTCCCAGTGACGTTCTAGGATCTCCATGGTCAAGCAGAAGCCAGAAGTCTCATACCAGTCCAATAAGTCACTGCAATAAACATCTGCAAGCAAAGGAATCTATACTCTGGGATGCAGTGTGACACACTGAAGCTTTGGCAGCAATATATTTTTTCTCTCTTGGCTGAGAGCCTGCAACGGTAGAGGCCAGGTGCAAGGGCAGGGAGACATGAGTGGGACTGGGGTGCATAATGTGAAATTCACTAAGAACCAATAAAAAGTTAAAGAAAAAGATTTCATTATTATTTAAACAATCCAGGAGTCACTAGAAGAGGGCAGGAACTCATGACTCTTACTTCTGTCTGCTTCTCCTCTAAGGTATCAGAAGAACAGTCTGCTGTATTTATAAATGACACGATAGCTGAAAACAAAAGGAGATTATAAAAAAAAAAAAAAGAAAGAAAACCTTAACAGGGCTAAGTGGGAGGCAAATGTAAGTCTCTGAGTAGGGAGATAAAGAAATAGTCTAGTCACCACTATTGTAAAATAGATTAAAATCTGTGGGGCGGTGGGCTCTGAGAGGCAGCTCGGCGCCGGGTTGAGCACAGGCCTTGAACCTTGGACCCTAATGGGATGGTAGGTGTTCGGCCTTGCTCCTGGGCCCCTAGTTCCTTTCACTTAGCTTCTGCTCTCCACAGCCCCTCCCACAGAGAGGTCTATGGCCATCAGTCACATAGGAACAGTGCCTCAGGCTCTCCTACATGTAGATGAAGTATCTCCAAGCTCTCAGACCAAGTCAATAGGGGTTATCTGCTGTTAGACCCTAACCCACCCTAAAACTGTATATAAACGTTCTATTCAGGAGAAGTAAAGGTATGCAAGAATCATCCCATTGTCCAAGAGTTTCTGTCGCAAGAGCTATAACACTTGGGTAGAGATCTGCTCTCTGGAAGTGCCTTCAGGACCCTTCCCTCCTTGCTAGCTAGCCGGCTTCTCACTGGCCCAGCCCAGACTGGCTCAGAGCAGAGAGACAGGTGGAGCACCTAGGAGTAACTGGGTGGCAACAGCAGAGTGGACAGAGGCAGCAGCGGAGGCAATTCCCCCTCCTTGCTCACACTCTATCCCCTTGGCCTGAACCCCCACACCTGGCCGGGCCAGAGATCTTTGTGGGAATCCCCCCAGAACAAAGACCCACAAAAATCTATGTTCAGTGACTGGTTTCATGTTTGCCACAGATAAAATAACTGCCACTTATTTTCATATTTTATTAAATTACAATGAACCTAGAACTGCCCCACCGAGCAGAGTAGCCATAACCCTGTACAGTTATGGAGCATCTGAAGCAAGGACAGTCCAAACTGCCAAGTTCCGGAAATGTAAATCACAGTCCACGCTGCATAGGTAGTATGAGAAAAATATTTCATAGGCAATATAAGTTGATTATGGGCTGAAGTGACAGTATTTTCTGTTATATAGCATTAAATGATATTACAATGAATTTTACTAGTGTCTGTTCACTTTTTTTCCAATGTGATGACTAGAAAATTCTAAATTACTTATGAAGTTTTCATCTGTGACTTGCATTATATTTCTGTAGGACAAGGCTAGATAACAGTGAGAATTAAACATACTGCACACAAATAGCAATACATAACAATTACTCTCTTTAATTTAAACAGGAAAGGCTAAATTTCATTAAGAATTACACTGGCAAATTGGAATTGAGAAACAGATGTTTATGTGATGTTAAGCAGAATGCAATTAGCATGTTAGAGAGCTACATTAAACATTCTTACCTCTTAATATCAATGTCCAAAGATCTAAGATTTAAAGAACTTAATTCTAGGGACTGGGGAAATGGCTCAGTGAATAAGGTACATGAAGGTCTGGGCTCTGAGAACTTGAGAACCCTCCAAAAAGCCTGGCATAGTAGCCTGTGCCTGTAATACCAGCACTGTGAGGAAGGAGACATGTATTTTCTCAGAAGAAGCAGAAAAAGCCAGCTCCAGGTTCAATGAGAGACACTGTCTCAAGATACAAGCAGCGGGGTGATACAAAGACACCTGAAATAGTCCTCTGGCCTATAAACACATAGGCACTGGACAGTGTGTATGTGTGTGCGTGCGTGCGTGCGTGTACATGCACCATCCCCAGGGCCAGCTCTCCCATGATGTTCAGGTGAGGGGTAAGGCCAGTTCTACAAGGCCCTCAGACATCAGCATATCACTGGAAGGCAGCCCAGACCAGGGACAAAAGTCTGCTTGATGTTTGGTGGTAACAGATCCCTACTGCTTTAGGGCCATCACCACCTTGCCTTTTCGCTTATGCACTACATTCAAGACTCATGTTTTCATGATTTGTAAATTATATACACTCTCTGTTTTCCTTCATCCTCCTCACCTGTCTCTCTATAGGAAGAAGATATAAACAAAAGGATGTAGGCCCGTTTCTATTTCCATGATGTCTAAACACACACACACACACACACACACACACACACGCACACACGCGCGCGCGCGCGCACACACACGCAGGCACGCACGCACACACACACATCCCTTAGCTCTAAATATAAATGTATATAGATTTATTTGGCTATAAAGTCCTCATTCTGAGAGTTTCCCAATTGAGCCATTTTGACCTTTAAATTCTGAGCAATATATCATAGTAGCTAGGTGTCAATAGAATACCACAGTGCAGCATGGTATTCTAGTGTTATGTAGCTACTATCCCTAGGAAACCCTTCTGCATATAATCCCACTACCGTCACTAATATTAGTTTCCCTGCTAACCTCTTCCCAGTGACACCTATTTCCTATACACTGCTGACTTTGTCTTTGGAAGACAAACTTGTTTTCTCACTCTGCCTGTGTCGTCAGCAACTCCTCAATTTGTAGCAGAAAGTCTAACTGTAGCAAAGCTTTTAACATTCATTTCAAATCACCTATATCCACCACTTCTGAGTTTGTCAATATCCAGTCTGCTACTTCAGAGGATGCCTTGCCCATGAGGGACCACTCCCAGCCCTGCCACCCACTACGTGCCTGTGTCCTATATAGGCTGTTGATCTTAGGGTGGCCTTCTCTATGCTAGGCAGGTAGCTGTGAGATATAATCACACACGTTCCACTCATATTACATTGTGCGGGTCTGCTACCTAATGAGGATCATTTTGAGAGCAAGTAAGAAGGACAATGTTAAGAATAACAGTTTGTTGTTGTTTTTTTCCCACATGAACATGCAGAAGCTAAAACAGTACTCAACAAATAACAAAGACATCTGATTACTGTTAAAAATTTAACTTATGTATTTAGTGGAAACAGATTTCATAGTGTAAATGTACACTGAAGAAAATCTCTACCTTCAAGTTTGTACTGTCTCAAAACAGTACAAAAAAAGTATTATATGTCACATACCACAAGCTGAACTTGCTTTCAGCTTCTCCAGTGATCCTTTACTGTGTTAACGTAAATTTAAAAAAAACTTTAAAAATCTTCTATTCTTAAAATGTTCTATGAGTGAAACTATTAAAAAAATCTTCCTTTCAAAAATAATTTGGTTTAAAAAGTGCAATAAATTATTTTAATGTATTTAATATGATTCTCATACACGTGTCCACTTTCCTTATCTTCAAGTATGAAATTATGAAATTGCTGGACGTATTTTCAGTAAACTAATTTGCAAATATAAAACCCCCAAGATCCTAATGACATTAGTGTGTTGATCTCAAATCCCTACATAACCCTAGGATACAAGGAAGAACAATTCCTTTATATGTAGTAGCAGATTTACCTAG